ATAAGAGTCTTTGCAGTCTTCCTTCTAAATCCTTTTTTATGCTGTGAATAAGCATTGAGGTTTTGCCTTGATCAATCTGGGGGGAAGGTTTGGATGCTCTAGTCAGTGGGTGTGTCAACTCTGAAAATGTTAAGTGTGAGCTACAGAACTTCTAGTTGCGTTAAAGGCACGCAACTAGGACAGAGTTATTCGCTGAGAGGGAATAACTGTCAGTAAGAATTACCCCAGAGGTTCTACTAAGAAGGGGAATGTGAATAACCCAGTCACAGGCCTAGAGGAAAGAACTGGGTCTAAGATGAGATTGACTCATGTTCGACTTCCAAATCTGCAACTTAGTTGTGTACCTAAGGTAAGTTACTAAACCTCTTTGAACTTCAATTTTTGTTTACCTGTAAAATGTATTGCAGGCATGTAGAATTATTTTATGTGTTTATTCAATGAACACTTACTGAGGATCCACCATATGCCCTGTGCTGAGTGGAGCATGGCATGATGGGATGCCCAGTGCATCGAGCTGGAAGCTTTGTCTTGTTCTTTTTCAGTCCCCAGCGCGATGGACTGGAGTCTCATCTGTTCGGATGCTAGAGCCCTGCTACCCACAGGCAGACCATGGCATGGAAGCCAGTGAATGCCTGAACCCCTGACTATTCTCTAATTGAATTGCACCTCTGAGGAAGCCTTGATATTTTTGTTTGGCTTCTCTTGTGCTGATCCTTTGCTTGAACTCTGGACAGAGATGCAGAATCTGCATAAATAATAAATAATAAGTTTTGTTTTCTCCCTGATAATTCTAAGCCTGTGATGTAATTTGGGTCTGCATCCCAGAAACCTCTTGCTAGTGGGCAAGTCTTCCAGGCATTACCACCACCTCTTTCTTGCTGCCAGTAAACAACCATGCTGTCCTAATATATTCTGAGGCACATCTCTGGAGTTTCTGGATGTTTTCTGATTTGTTTTTTTGCCTTCCATAAAAAGATTAAGTTTCTAAATATCTTTTCCTCTCCTCCATCCCCCAATTTTTTCTCAGCCCCTAATGTGACACAGTGAATATAAGGGGAATTTAATCATCACTTCTTGGGTGAATGAGTCTGGGAGCCACAAACTCATCTTGAGATTCATAAAGTATAACTAAATGCTTTGTTATTTCATCAGGAAAATGCATAATGATACATAATTCAGGAAGATATTAGGAGGATTAGATATGACCAGTGTGGTATGCACTGGAAGAAGGCATACCTCAGTAAAAAATGTCAGTAATCTTAATGATGAGATGTGTCTGACTCAGAGGCTACCCGGGTGTAGAGTAGCACCCATTTAGGGTGCCCCGGTGAAATTCTTCAGCAAGAGGTGAAATTTTTGTTTTCCTACCTCTTACCCACCCCCGAACTGCCGTTCTATAGCTCTCTCCTTATGTCGAGAAAAAACAACTCCCTAATTTATTAAGTCATCTTTTTTGTTGTTGTTGAAGGGGTGCAAGAGAGAGGTGGTTTCTTGAACAAATTTGCAGATAGTTTTAGTTTTTTCACTCTCCCATCTGATCATTTTCTCTCGTAGTCATTGCATTGGTTTGATTTTTACTTGACACTTAAAAACTTCCATGCATTTTAAGCAATTATCTTTTTATGTTTAAATTAATGTTAAATGCAAATCTAAATACTGTACTGAAGCCTTTGAAATCTGGTATCTATCTATTTAGTTACCAATTAATCACTCAGCACAATATGATGAACTGCAATAATGTCCCTAGCCTAAAAAAAATTGCTAATGATGAGAGAGCTGGAGCTGTCACATTGGTTCTCATCATGTTATTAATAAAAGGCCAAAGCAGAGACACAAAGGTGTTTTGATTATGATCAGATCATAGTGAAATTTCAGCCACAGAAAAATTTGAAGTGGGTAACGTGATCAATAAATCAATTTTGTTGTAATCTTTAAGACTATGATGTGGTTCATTTTATAATGATAGGTGACTTACATTAACAGACTCAGCATTCCTTTGGCTTAAAAGGTGACCCATTGTTAAAGGACTGTCAACCATTCTCAATTAATACAGACTTCTAAATTCTTTTGGCTTAGAATTCTGCAGATATAAAAAGCTTTCCTAGGAGATATTCAGCATACCAATGAAAGATACCTGTATTCTCTTTGCACATTGTAATAATCCAGGTGCACTCTAGCTGTTGGTCTGTGATGTGACAAGTGAACAAAAAGTGTCCTCTGAAAAAAAATAGCAGAAGTTTGGATTTTACACTGAAAATTTACGTACATAGTAATTTGCTTGTTCATTCTTACTTTGACTCTTGCAACAGTTAATCAATTAATGATAGTGAAGGAGGGACTTTGATATTATTTTGTTGGTGACAGCATGATGTATATACTCCATATATTTTTGAAATAATGATATACATTGGTGTAATTCCACTTACTTGATGATTATGAAACTCCAGTGCAAAATTTAAATATTTGTATCTCAGTACCACAATGCTATATTAGATTTTTTCATATTAGATTTTTTAAAATTTCAACTAAAATACGTATTCTATTCAACTGAAATTTGTGTTCACTAGAGATATTAAATTGATTTTTAAATTAATGACATCCAGTAGTCATGTTTAGTACTAGCAAATCTTCCAACTCACATGGGTTCTGTATAGCTCAGTGACCACACATCCTGGTTTGCATGAGATATTGTTGTCTGTGTGAAATTATTAATACTGCTTCTCTTTGATTTCAAAAATATTTCTGTATGTATGATAAATTATTATGTTAATATGATCACTATTTATACAGTCCCAGAAACCATTGTTTCTTACTCTTGGAATAAATTCTTTCCTGAGCTTTTTCATACCTTTTTTGTTCTGTAGGCCCTGGGGCTATTTTACTTTGCTTCAGTGGATTCCAGTGGAAATTTTTTGCTAAAGAATGTATTTATAAAAGAACTTTAGAAAGAATAAAAAAAAATTGTTAATACATAACCAATATATGTTTTATTCAACTCCAAGAAGGCAGAAATCTTGGCTCTTATTCACCGTTGAACACTGAGCATCTTGCACAATACCTGGGTAGAGTAGAGACTCCATAAGTGCTTGTTGAATGAATAAGCAATTGAAAATTTAACCAATTTTTAATTTAAGAAAATGTAGATTTTGGCCGGGCGCGGTGGCTCACGCCTGTAATCTTAGCACTCTGGGAGGCCGAGGCGGGCGGATTGTTTGAGCTCAGGAGTTCGAAACCAGCCTGAGCAAGAGCGAGACCCCATCTCTACTAAAAATAGAAAGAAATTAATTGGACAACTAAAAATACATAGAAAAAATTAGCCAGGCATGGTGGCACATGCCTGTAGTCCCAGCTACTCGGGAGGCTGAGGCAGTAGGATCGCTTGAGCCCAGGAGTTTGAGGTTGCTGTGAGCTAGGCTGACGCCACAGCACTCACTCTAGCCCGGGCAAAAAGAGTAAAAAAAAAAAAAGAAAATGTAGATTTCTTTGCACATTACTCTTCTTCCCAAAGATATTAAAATGATCCATGAACATCCTTGGAATCATTGCTTAGTAAAATATTTCTCAATATTTGAGTAAGGATTACTTGGCATTTGGACAAAAAGTCAGACTCCCAGATTCTGTCCCTGAGAGTCTGATTCGGTTTCAGGCTGTGCCCCATGTATAACATGCATTCCATCTGGGGTCCTTTCCAACTCCAAGTCTTTGAAATCTTTGTCTTACTTTATTTTCAAAAGTACATTTCCTTGACATCCTACTAGGCTGTCCATCTTTCTACAATGTCACTACTAATAAGCTAGCTGTGGAGAAGACATTACTGAACAAAAGCCAAGTTCCCCCACACAACTGGTGTTTATCACGTCCTCACTCTGGGCACAAATTTCCTCAACCTTAAAACGACATAACTGAGCTACAAGATGTCTCAGACCTGGTGCACCTCTATTTTCAGGTGATTCTTATCTTTGAAGCCTGATGTCTCATCAAGAGATATTTTCCACAAAAGAGCACAACTACCTTGTTACTTCATTGAAAGAAATTTTCTGTGGATTAATTACTGCTTAAGAGATATTTTTAGACTTTGAGGTTATTTAAGCACCATACTTCACAAACTTGTACCAATTTTATTTGGGGTTCCCTGGATATATGTGTTGGGAGCTGGTTGATAGTTTCTCATTTCAGAGGTTAAAAATTATTTCTTAACTCTTGCCAGTTGTCTTGTAGATCCTGCCAAAGGTATACCTACAGATAAGAAAAACGGCCTTTGTTTTTGAGTATAATTTGCAAAAGTTGGCAGAGCCCTGCCTGCCAAAGTGTCCCATTATTAAATCATGAGCACAATCAGAAGTAATCTTCCGTGTAGCCACACCAAATAGAGCCCACAGAAAGGGAAGAGAAAGGGACCCTGGTGAATGTACTCACAGAGATTTGTTCATCAGATTAACTATGTCTGTTATTAATATATTGGGACTTGAGGAAGTCTAAGCCAAGTCAGATTAATTTTTTAAGAAACAGAAAAAGGAGATAGACTGGAAAAGTTTTAGAGCATGGGAAGCAACCCAGGAAGGTCAAAACTTGTTGGGCAGTGGGTTGTGAGTGCCTAAAAGTTGTTGCCCATAAGAGGAGAAGACGGTCACAGGTGGTTAGAAAAGAAGCAACAGCGGCATTAACATTCACTGATTTCATAATTCTGTTGTGGGCCATTCCAGAAGTCAGAAGAAAGAGTCCTCTGAGATGATGTGATTGGGGAGAAAAGGAGGAATTGTATGTGATTGCAGCTTCTTTCTATTAATACTAGGCAGGCTGCCCAGTGCAGTAGTATTGAGAGTGTAGTCATAGAGGTGGAATTGATTTTCTTGTTTCTTTACATAACTGCTTAACACCCCACTTCTTCCTTCAAGGTGGATCCCATATAAAGAATAATTATTTATTATTTGTTCTAATCCACATTGACACCTATGTCTCATTGGTAGATTTAATATTAATCAACTCAATTATTTCTCAAGGTTGCAGATATAAAGGACAATGAACAGACTGAAAAATGTTCCTGGAGTTAAGCTTGTGATATTGATAGTTCAAGAATGGACAGAAAACATGGGAAATACGTAGTGAATATTGAACCTTCTGGCAACCGACCAGTGAGTATTGGTGGTACCACTGTGGTATGTTCTGATAGCCCAGATTCTTATTTCCAATATTTATGAAACTTTAATATTTTTTATTATAACACAGTTCTTCCCCAAATGGAATTTCTAATCAAAGTTTCAGATGGTAGCTCATTTTAAGCTATTCTTTTACAACTTATTAATTAGAAAACTTATATTTTTTCTGCATCAATACATGAATAGTTGAGACATTTATTTTTTAAATTCAATGATCTAAGACACTAGCAATTATTTAGGTGCCAATTGAATAATATTTCAAAATAATACTCTACAGTTATTATAATTTAGGCATAAGCCAACAAGTCTGCTTTTGATTGTATTAAAAATTATATTTTTAAATGTGATATGTAGACTTTCGTGCTAACTGTCAACATTTTTAGTGTAATATCTAGACTTGTTAGAACTCAAAGATTTTTATGTACCTTTGAAAGTCAGAAGTGAATTTTCTAAGTGAAATCTAGGCTTAGAAAGCAAATTATCTAGCAAATCCCTTAAGTTGTTCTCTAATTAACTACTTATGAATTTTTTTGGTAAAAAATTGTACTGAAGTAAAATATTAGAACTCAATTATATACAATAGTGTTTGACTATTGTTTATGTTTTTAGAAGAAACAATTTAGTACTGTATGTTTTATGATTGCATTTTATGTAACTGTTCATGTCTGACTAGAGCCCTTGATATTGGAAACAGAAATGGATGTGGGCTGAATGAAATCAGTGTAAGTTTGAGTGGATAGTTACGTTTGGTGAGGAAAAATATTTTTCTTCCCATGTACTAACAAGGAAGTTATAAGGAGAGAAATTGTTCCTTTGATTGTAGATCAGCACCCCCTCCCCTGAAGACAGCCTTCACTGTCCTTCCAGCCCTGCAAATCTGTCACTGTCTCTTCACAGTGTCAAGATACTCAAATAAAAAGGTCCCTTTGGTAACGGTAAGGACTCAGTTAGTCATCTGGAGTGTTTTCCTACAGAACAGTTGAGTTTTCAGACATAGGGTACATATCTTACACTGAATATCTTACTTTACATATGGATATTTGGATGTAGTGATAGAAAATTATTTTTTCATTTAGAGCCATCTTTACTAATGCATTAAATAGCCATTGAAGGCTAAAATAAAAATTAAATATAAAATTAAAATTTATATTTTAATTAAAAATTATTTATTAAATTTATATTTAATTAAAAATAAAATTTAGGAGTTTGTTTTTCCCTCTTAGAAAACAAAAAAATGGTAAATTAATCTCTTTAAATCTATGAACAGAGAGTTTAAAATTTTATTCCACGTGAGCATAGCTAATGTGTATCAGATGCATGATGGAGATTATTGGCTTCCACCAAGAGTTAATTAAATATAACTCACAGCTCCCTACCTGCTCAAATTTTTAACTTTAGAGACCCCATTCTTATTAAAAGACAGAAGAAACTAAGACAGCAAGAATTGTATTACCCGCAAAGCTCTAGCTTCTGGGTTTTACATTCTTGGTATAGGCACCCACTGTCTTCCTTTCTTTAAAGAATTTTCAAGAAATTCTGGCAAGCTGCTCTGGCAAGTGAGTTCTTATTTAATCATAAAAGTTCCAAAAAAGTCCAAGTTCATCACCCTTAGCATACTGAATAACTAAAGAATAAATGAAGCTTTCATAAAAGATAAATCTTTATTTTTCTCAAAGTTCTCCATTGAAAAACAGATGAGATTTTATTACAGTACTTACATAGGTCAGATCTGCTCCTATTTGATATCACTGCACAACTATTTTCTTTATTTCTTTGGCATGCTATTGTTCTTTTAGAAAAATAGATCCTGACCAATTCTTTACACCCAGGTGTATTCCTTCTTGATTCTGTTTAACACAATTACACTCTCTTTTATTCTTACGTATAATCTCTCACTGACCAGTGTCTGTACACATGTTTAGTATGATGGTTTTAATAAATTTAGAGATTAATTGATCTGGCAATGTCAATAGTCTTTTAAAAATCCATTTAGCATTGGTCATTTAATCAATAGGGTTAAGAGTATACATTTAAATAATACTCCTGCTGTCCTATCAGGAAAAAGTCATAAATAACTCTATGCTATTTTTCAGCTGTAACAAATTTACATGTAACAATTTATACTCCCATGAATATCTAACACAGATTACTGTCCTTTTCTTGAAAGTGTGTCTGCAATTATTTTTTCTTTCAACCTCACTTCAAGGAAAACTTACCCTTTCCTATTGAACCCACTTTTTTATTTATTTACTTTAAAATTTTTAAATGTGTTTAAAAGATTTAAAGAATACCCATGTGCCAAACAACTTCAGAAATAAACCATTACAGAAATAGTGGAAATCTTCTGTTTATACTTCCTCAATATCACTCCGACTCGCCTTTGTGCGCACCTAACGGTGCGCGCTGCCTGGGGGGTGGGCACGCTTCTCCAGCAGTGCAAAGGCAGTTTATGTAACCAAAGTATTCATACCCCGTAATACTCCGAAAAAGAAAAAAAAGTATACAGTACACTTTATGTAAAACATACCTAAAGTAAACCCATACTAAGCGTGCAGCTTGATGATTTTACAGACATATACGTACATGTATACATCACACACATGTCTGTGCAGCCACCACCTGGATCTAGATACAGAACATTTCCAACACCCGAGAAGCTCCCCTGTGCCGGCTCTCAGTCAGTGCCCCATCTTTTAGAGGTAACCACCTTCTCACTTCTCTTGCCACAGTTTAAGTTTTGCATTTTCTTGAATGTTATATAAATGGAATTGTAGTAATATTTTGTGTGGCTTTTGTTGCTCATTATTGCATCTGTGTCACTTGTTCCTTCTTTTGTTTTCTATAAAATATTCCATTTTTGCATAAATATATCACAATTTATTTATCCATTTTCCTGTTGATAGACATTTGAGTTGTTTTCCATTTTTGGTTGTTATGAATAAAACTGCCATGAACTTCCTTGCCCATGGCTTATGGTAGACAAATGCTTTCATAGCTCTTGCATATACATGCAGGAATGCAGCCACTGTGTCAGAGAATAGGTGTTGAGAGCTGCTAGGTTTACAGGTGGTCAATTAGGACTTTGAGCCGAACTGAAAGTAATGATTAAGGCCTTTTTCACTTACTGCAATAGTACAAGCAAGAGGCCAAACAGGAAAGATGCCAGCCATCACAATGTTCCATTTTTTCCTCCATGTGACAACACTGGGCAAGGGTTAAGTGGATCAGTGCAGACCAGGATCATCTCCTTGCCAAGGGAGCCGCGAACAAAAATTTTCTATCATTTTATGGACCTGGAAGGCTAGAGGGCTGGAAGTGGGAAAAAGCTGAGTACCAAGTTAGAGTGGAGAAAATGGTCTTCAAGGCCCTGGACAAGGAAGTCCCACATAGGTGCCTGAACAGTATCTCAGCTGAGTAACCCCCCTAGGCTAGGAGTGCAAATTTGCTTAAGAGCATGGTGTGCCCAGGGCAGGGTGGGGAAGAGGGAAGGCTGAGTTCCTGACTGCACATCCATCCAGAAGCTGCAATGCATGGCTGCACCAAGGCTGCAGGGAGGGCAGCTTCCTTCCTTGAGCTTCCTCTGCCAGGTGGAGACTTTGCAGTGGCCTATGGCTGGGCCTGAAAGGTCACACTTAGGATTTTTTTCCTGGAGCCAGACTCCTCGATAGGCAGTTTCTATTTGACATTTTTCTCATTCTTTTCTGTCCATAGCCATTCCTAAGCCCAAGAAATGAAGCTCACAATACAGCATGTCAGTTTTCTACATCAACTGATATAACTGGTGATAGTGCTACCAATTTAACTAGTGTCTGCACCAACCCCGAAACCCTGGGACACTCAGAATTTCCAAATGGAGAATTCCAACATTGTCAGGTAATGCTTGGGGCAATACACTGTTTTGCTGGGTTAAGGTGTAATCCACATGAAAACACTTTTGATCCAATATTTGGAGGGAAAACATTCAATCAATTTACTTAATATTTTTCTTGTGGGAATCTATCATCCTTTGAGCATGTAAAGTCACTGAGGGTATACAGGAGAGGTAGAAAATTTATGGGCTCTTCATTTAAGAAGCTAAGATCTTGACAGAAAGACAAAAACATATAGAGTTTAGAGAAAATATATCAAGATCAAAGAAAACAAAGAAAAATTTGAAATACTTAGTAGGTTACAGCATAGGAAATACATGGGCAGTGAATGAGATTGTTTGTTAACCTTGCTCAGGTAGAAGGTGAAGTCGTATGTTAAGGTCCCCAGGCCTAATCTGGGGGTGATCTCTCTGACTCTGCTTCCCTGTCAGCCTCAGAACCTAATTATGGGCCTTGCTTTAGTCCTGGCTCTTACCTCATATGTGTTCAACCATGGCTTAGAAACAATTCTGTATCCTGGGAGATATAAAGAATTTCTAAGAAAACATTCGTTATTTTTTAAATTGGAAAGATATAGCCATATGAATAAGAAAGCATGAGTGATCACTGGAAATTTCTTCTTTTTAAATTTAAGGAAAAAACAAAGACAAGATTTTTTCTAATGAAAACTAAACTTTGAGCCTAGCATTTGTTGCTTCACATAGTTTTTATGTTTATGCATTCTTTTAATGAAATAATCTATTTCAAAACAGGATGGTACTGGCATAACAAAAAGAACTATAGACCGATTGAGGAGAGTAGAAAGCCAAGAAATAAATCCATGCATTTAGTTTTAGACAAAGATGTTAAGAACATACAATGGAGAAGGAATGATCTCTTCAAAAAATGATGCTGGGAAAACTGAATATCCACATGAAGAATAATGAAATTGGACCCTATGTTATATCATATACAAAAATCAATTCAAAATGCTTAAAGACTTAAGTGTAAGGACTAAGAGCGTAAAACAACTAGAAGAAAAATATAATATGGAAAGGACGATCAATGGCACTTATTTTCCTTGAAATATTTTGTTTCATCTTTAATAATTTTATTTAAATCCTTTCCAGGTGACGCGAAATTTCTTCAATGACTGGTCTCTGTGGAAAATCTTCCTGGTTTGTCTCTTAGCCAGTGTGATAACAACAGCAATCGGAGTACTCATACTGTCCCTGGTATACAGTGGGAAAAACAGTAATGCCTCTATTGTTATCCAATTTCCCCAAAGCCATGGGACACCCTCATCTACTACTGGAACATCCTCTTCAACAAGTTCTGAACCTAGAGTTACCACTCCCGTAATAGACGCTACCACAACATCCACTTCAACTGAGCCTGTTATCATAACGACCACTGCCAGGACTTCAACAGAACCCACCAGCACAACAACCACCACCAATGCCTCAACTGAAACTACAATAGTATCAGTTACCACTGCACCTGAAACAACAACAACAGTGACGGCAGGAACGGCCAATGAGGTTACAACCACAGCAGTCGCCATTACTACTTCTACAGAAGATACAACCACATCAGCCACCACCTCAACTGAATCAACCACCACAATAGCTGCAAGCACTTCTACTACATCTATAACCACAATGGTCACGAGTACAGTTTCTACTGAACCCACAGCAAGAACAGTAGCCACCACCTCAACTGAACAGATTAACACAAACACTATAGGCACTACCACTATATCTACAACTCCAACGGCCACCAGTACTGTTTTTATTGAACCGACAACCACAACAGCAGTCAGCACTGCAGCTGAAGTGATTACCACAAGTAAAGGCACATCCACTGAAACTACAACCACACCAGGCAGAAACACCACTTCTACTGAAACTACAACCACACCAGCCAGAACTACAACTTCTACTGAACCCACAACCACATCAGCCACTTCACCTGAAACAACTAC